GCCTCGTAGCTGAATTTTCATGTACTCACCACAGCAAACCTCCTCAAAAGTTTCATGGCTAAAGGCGGGAGATTGGGGTTGAAACAATGATATATATAGTTGGCCACTACCAATACAATCTTCAAACCATGTTTTTGAGATGGCTGTGTGTAGATGCTTTGTTCCAGTGGGCAGGGATTTTGTTCTTCCTAAAACGCATAAAAAGCATATTTTTATGCTTAAAGAATGGGATAAATTAAAACATGTTTATTATATTCTTGAAGATAAAATGAAAGATGGCTTCAATATTTTTATGAGAAATATGAACACAACTGCACCTTGACTGAGTCCTTAAGGATCATAAGTCTGTTTAGAACTGATAACGCCAGCTGTACCACTCGAATGAACGTCAACCCACGTCCGGCTGCCCAGCTTACTTGCTGCTCCATGAGAGCCTGAATGTAGTGGTCACCTGCACAAAAAAAACACTTCAAGCTGATATGTGTTTCACGAGTAAATCTTGCAACTCTGCTGGAGCAAACGCAGGCACAGAATGCCCGTGCAGAGGCTCAAGAGATAACTACTGAACGTGCCACTTACTGGCAGGTAGCCACTTGGGTGGGACTCACTTTTATTTTTAAGGTAATACACAAAACAATTAGATCTGACAGGATCCCGCCACCACACACATTAAAAATAAATTATTTGATAGTAAGAACACACTGAAAAAGACACAAAGAAAACTAAAAATTGTTTTGCAGCATTCATGACAGGACAATTTGACACAAAACTTCAAAGTATAATTTATGATTTTTCTTCAAAACAATTTCAAAAGCTGGTAAAATTATTTTGTTCTGGCACAACCTTGAAGTTTATGAATAGCACCCTCCTTAGTCAGGGGAGCTGAGGGAGGGGTGGTATCTACCACCATTTTAGACAGAACAATGAACATCAATCAGAATTTCAATTGCACAAACTTACTTAAAACTACAACACATTAAGTAGAAGTCAATTCTCGTGAGACATGTATAACAACAACAACTTCTGTGGCGTGATGACAGATGTGAATTAGGGTTGAAACAGTAATTCCAAAAATTTTCATGCATAGTTCAACACAAACTACTTAGTTACTAAACGGAGATTAAGAATGGAAAAAAAGTTGCCAGTTGTAAAACAGCAAATTTTCCCATTTGTGAAACAGTGTCAGGTATAATAAACATTACTGAGTGTTTTATTTCTGCCACTGTAACACAGCATTGATCAGATCTGGTTACGAATCTACAGGTACGTACCCTAATTGCCTTTTTATGTTTAACCTTCATCGTACAGGAATAGGGAATTTAAGTTTCCATATTACACAGAACCCCACTTAACGGTACCTGCACCTTGTCGTGGTGGTGGGGCTCGAGTACCTCAGTGACCCCAAGAGCTACTGGTAGGGCCTCCCTAGCCAGATTGGTCGAGGGGGAGAGGTCAGACTAAGACAGGTACCCTGGTCCTCCAGGTTGGGGGTTGGTCGCAAGGCTAACAACCTTGCACCGTA